AAAAAAAAAAAAAATTTATAAAAGCCAACCAAGAAACAGAGGGGAGGGGGGCCCAACAGCCAAGGAAGAGTTTCACTGAGGAAAGGCTGCCACTGTTGAGTCCTGCCTGAGGGGACAGTGTTCCAGCAACAAAGTACAGCTTGTGGAAACGTATAAGCAATGAATACCCACAATCTCTCACTTAGTTTGGGTCCACATTCCTACATCCCAGATGGCTGATGAACTTGAGAAGGAAAGTAGGCCTCAACTCCAAGTCGCCTTTATAAGCACAGACGTGGAGTCAAGGAATACAGATCAAGCGGGAGCAGCCTCACTCTCTGAGTTGGGTTCAGCGCTTGCCCAGATGCCCGGAAAAGACCAAGCTGGGCTCGGGGAGGGAAACCCACATAGAAGGTGATCCGCTTCTTGGGACTGGGTGTCTCCACCCACTCAGGGCCGCCTACCCACTTCCTACAACAAGACAGCCTTGCGGCAAAGATACATCTGCCAGAGGATGGCGGGGGGGGGGGGGGGGGGACTTCTTGCAAGAGGAGTCCCCACCCTGGGCTGCCGTGAGATGCTGGGTTAGGGGGACATGACCAGAGGCCCTTTCTCTTCAAGTCTGTCTAAAAGGAGAAGACCGTGGGGCGCCTGGGTGGCGCAGTCGGTTAAGCGTCCGACTTCAGCCAGGTCACGATCTCGCGGTCCGGGAGTTCGAGCCCCGCGTCAGGCTCTGGGCTGATGGCTCAGAGCCTGGAGCCTGTTTCCGATTCTGTGTCTCCCTCTCTCTCTGCCCCTCCCCCGTTCATGCTCTGTCTCTCTCTGTCCCAAAAATAAATAAACGTTGAAAAAAAAAAAAAAAATTTTAAAAGGAGAAGACCGTGACTCAAAATCAGCTGAGTGGTTCAGCGATGGAGACGACCTCTAGGGCCGATGGACAGTGCACAACAGGGGTCCTGTAGCCATCGTTGCTAACGAGGGAAGCTAACACTTCTCGAGCACCAGAACCAGACACCATACCCCGTGCCAGCATAATGCTTCACACGCATTATCTCATTTAAAAGACTCACTACCCCACTAACCAGAGGAGGACGCTGCACAAGGAAGGCAAGTAACATGTCCAGCTCACACAGCCACCAGTGGCAGTACTGGGAGTCAACCCCAGTTGGGCCTTAACTGGATTAACTGGGCCAAAACTGGATTTTGGCTTTAATGTTAGAGCAGCAAACCACCCGCTGGTGAAGGAGGCAAGAATGTGAGCTCTGTGAGGCCAGGGATTTTGGCCTATCTTGTGCCTGGCATATAACAGGCACTCAGTAAATACAAGTTAAATAAAGGAAAATGATGCCAGTTCGAACGATATCTTATTTTAAATAAGTATCAGAAACAAGCTTTTCTTTTCTTTTATCTTCATGTTACTAGCCCCATCAATTCTTCAGGGGATAGGTTAATGTAACACATAGATGTGTACTATAAAGGGCCTGGGCCTAAGACCTAGTCCTGCCACTGATCAGCTAGATAACCTTGAGCTTCTCACTTTGGCCTCTGGGCTCATTTCTTCACCTGAAAAATGAAACGGTTGGAGTAGATCTGGGTTTTTCAAATGCTAGTCATACATAGTCACTCAGGAGTCTGCTAAGAACACTAACTCCTGAACCCTTCTCTATCTAGATCAACTAAATCAGAAACGTACATTTTTAAAAATTTTGTTTATTTATATTTAAGAGAGACAGAGCACGAGCAGGGGAGGGGCAGAGAGAGACAGAGACAGAATCTGAAGCAGGCTCCAGGATGACCTGTCAGCACAGAGCCTGATGTGGGGCTCGAACCCATGAGCCAAGAGATCATGACCTGAGCTGAAGTCGGACACTTAACCGACTGAGCCACCCAGGCGCCCCCAGAAACCTATGGTTTTAACACAATATTCAGATAATTCTAAAGTGCAGCTGAACCAAATACTGCTAAAGTTCCTTCCAGTATAATGAGTAAGAGTCTAGGAGACCACAAATATATCTGCCTATAGGGGCACCTGGGTGGCTCAGTTGATTAAGCATCTGGCTCTGGATTTCAGCTGAGGTCATGATCACATGATTCATAAGTTCAAGAGATACATAGAGCTCCTGCTGAAAGTGTGGAGCCTGCCTGGGATTCTGTCTTTCCCCCTCTCTTTGCCCCTTCCTACCTCCCTTCCTCTCCCTCTCTCTCTCTCTCAAAATAAATAAATAAACTTTAAAAAATACATAAATAAAATCTTTCCTATAATAATAAAATTAAATGAAAACATGTCTGTAAGTACTACCTTAGACAAAATAACATCTATTCCCAAAAGGTCAATTATTAATAATTATCAGAGCCAGTCTCTACCGCCCTGTCACTTCTGCTTTACCAAACCACTCAGGGATTACAAGTACTAATGCACCAGAGGCTTCTGTATTGACCATCTTACCCAGATCACAGGTCCATCTCCAGGTCTTGCTTGTTGTTTCCAGATAGGTATCTATAAAATACAATCAATTTCATAAGCCACAACTGCAGTTAAACCACTACTGAATTCTTTAAAGCAATACATAAATTAAAAATATTTCCAAGCAACAAACAATCAAGGTAAAATAATGAATGAAGAAGAAATCTAAATCCTTCCAAGTGTCTTTAACAATGAAAATGCAAAAAATTAATTATCTGATGTTCTTTGGAAAGCAGAAAGCGGCCTCAACCGGGAATCAGAAGGCTGGCAGATTCAAGTCTTGCTTTCCCCTCATTATTCATGGGACCTCCATGAGTCTCTATTTCCTCATCTATAAAATGGAGCCAACTATCTGAACCCTGCCTACTTCACCATGTTTCCATTAGCATCAAATGAAATGATGCTTACAGAAGTGCTTTATGGAGCTCCTGGCTGGCTCAAATGGTAGTACGTGTGACTCTTGATCTCGGGGTTGTGAGTTCGAGCCCCACACTGGGTACAGGGATTACTTAAAAAATCAGATCTTAAAAAAAAAAAAAAAAAAAAAAAAATTCACAAAATATTAAGGGCTTCCTTTATTTTTTTAAAGGCTTGCTTTTTTAATACCTCATGTAAGTTTACCATTAGTTTATTTAAACTCCAGAGACAAATCTGACAGTATGTGGCTCTAGTCTCAGCAATTTTAAAAGCTCTAACCTAATACCTAAAGGGATTTAATCTATGTAAATATACCATCATCTATTTCTTGACCTACAAATAAGTGATTAAACTTTTCTAATTCAACTGTGCTCTGAAAGGAAAAAATATCTCATTCAAAAATAAATGTTAGGGGCAGATGGGTGGCTGAGCTGGTTAAGGTTCCAACTCTTTATTTCAGCTCAGTCATGATCTCATGCTCATGAGATCAAAGCCTATGCTCAGCACAGAACCTGCTTAAGATTCTGTCTCCCTCTCCTGCTCCTCTCCCCAGCTAGCACTGTCTCTTTCTCTCTAAAAACAAACTTTAAAATGTTGCTGTATTTTATAGAGCAGATTTTAGGATGGTGCTAACCCCATACTATATTGACTTTCTATTGTCATTCTAAATCTCTTGTTCTCTTTCTGCAATCACTCACCAACTTACCATCTTCCTCTCATTAGATATGAAGACAGCGTAGCACTCTTCTAAAGGATACTGGTCATGGTTTTTGATGTATTCACAAAGCTTCCAAATATTTTCTTCACTGAAACAAAATAATAGTTTGATCAATATAATTAAACAGTAACACTCCGTGTCATTCAAATTTGAACAGAAGACTAACGAGGACATAAAAGAGTCGGAAGAGATCTTAAACACGATTTCATCCAGCAAAGGGCTGATGTTTGAGCCGCCTCTGAAACACCCTCAACAAGGTGTTACCTGTGTGCTGACCTCTCTGCTAACACAGTGCTCATTACCTGCCCCAGCACTGCTCTGGACATGGAGGCATTTTACAACTGATAAAATGCTGCATCGATACTCCACAAGTTTTGGGTCCAGGGACTTGAGATACAAGTGGATTCCACTTATGGAATTTTCTGCCACTTACGAGGTAAGAAACTTTAGACATCTTCACCTGAGTATCTGCTTTTCTCATCTGTAAAATGGGGATAATCACATCACATTATAAACACTTGACTAATCTTAGTTAACACTGGTTCACTGCTCCCCTTAGGAATGGGACAGGATGAGTGTTCTGGGTAGGTGGGCTTCCGGCTAGAAAAGACCAGGGGCAACTATGTGATATGCTTAGGAATTCTTTCGGAGGGAGACTCTGTGAGTGGTATTCCCTGCGGCCCTCTGGTACAAGTCAGGCCCTGACTTTTACAAAGTTCTTTCCCATACTGTGCTGAACCCCATCTTCTTATACTTCTGCACCAGGTGAATCTCTTTTCTACGTGACAGGTCTTCAGATATTTAAAGCAGTAGTCAGAACCACCTAAGTAAATCAATGCCCAGTGCATGAAACCAAGCCATCCTGATGGCCACAGGCACACGCCCACACAGACAAAAACAGTCATTGTTGTCGGTATTCATAACTCAGCCTCAGGATTGCTGTCTTTTCCTAATGAGCCACACAGCACCTTTGTTCAAAATGAGCTACATCAGTACTCAGCTCATACTTGTGACTCAATCTGTCAAAGCCTGATTTCCAAACACCTACACCACGCTACCTGAAAATGAAGGCAGGCATGAATGGCACTGATGAATGCCACCATTTTATGGCAATACAAACTTTCAATTCACAGTTTTGACCTTGTCTACCTGTCTCAACGCTCCATACAACTACATGTAAAGTACTAAAGCTGAGTGTTTTTTTCCTATGATTTTGTTTATCTCTAAAATACCTAAGAAATCTCACAGAAAAAGTAGTGATAGAGGTAAAAACAGGAGATTGCCACTCACTACTTCCAAAGGATATGTAGTATGGAATAACAAAAATGTACTGTTTCGATATGACATAAACCATGTATTAACTAAATTTTCTTAAACCTGGATGCTCTAAGACCAAGTTTTCAGAAGACATTTGTTTGTCCAGCCTGCAGAAATTCTGGAGTTGCTCACAAACATCTTCAAGAGCCTGTGATGTAAAAAGCACTGTGCTAAGTGCTTGGAGGATATAATGATAAATTAGAGCTCACAGACAGTGAGAGGAGACATACAGATCCATAAATAAGCAAGCATCATAGATGGCCATAAAAGATGCATATAAGAGGGAGTCATTAATTTTGAGGCACACAGGAAGATTGGGGAGGTATAGGTCAGTGGTTTCTCCTTGTTTGTTCCCCCACTCCCAGTCCCAAGGATGGGCAAAGAATTAACACAAAGACTTCGAGAATCCATGTATACCCCAAGAACTGTTGGCAGTCTGAATACATATACGGCTGGACATACTTTGTCTTTTATTTTTCAAATATGTGTAAATGTTACACGGAGGAAAAAAATTAAATGTTAAGAGTTATTGAACCTATAGTCCTTTTTTATCATCAATTTTTTTTTCAAAAGTACAATTAATATCATGTAGGAGGATCTCAAGAAACATCTGACATTTAAAAAAGGAGGGCATTGGGGCGCCTGGGTGGGTCGGTCGGTTGAGTATCCAACTTCAGCTCAGGTCATGATCTCTCAGTTCGTGGGTTCAAGCTCCGCATCAGGCTCTGTGCTGACAGCTCAGAGCCTGGAGCCTGCTTCGGATTCTGTGTCTCCCTCTTTCTCTCTCTCTCTCTGCTCCTCCCCTGCTTGCACTCTTTCTCTCTTTCAAAAATAAACAGTAAAAAAAAATTTTTTTTAATTAAATAAATGAAAATTAAAAAGGAGGGCCTTGGGGCGCCTGGGTGGCTCAGTCGGTTAAGCAGCCGACTTCGGCTCAGGTCATGATCTTGCGGTCCGTGAGTTCGAGCCCCGCGTCGGGCTCTGTGCTGACAGCTCAGAGCCTGGAGCCTGTTTCGGATTCTGTGTCTCCCTCTCTCTGACCCTCCCCCGTTTGTGCTCTGTCTCTCTCTGTCTCAAAAATAAATAAATGTTAAAAAAAAAAAAAAAAAAAAAAAAAAAAAAAAAAAAAGAGGGCCTTATACTTGGAAATGCTGGGAGTTGCTGTTGGAACAGGAAGAGCACAGACTGGGTGTGAGCCCTAGCATCCATTTAACTGGTTTTAAAAACGAGCAGAGGGGGGATGGTGATAATAATGTTCCAACCTACTGGATGATTATTTTGGTAGCAGAAAGTCTAACAGAGCAGCATTAAAATAAGATTCTGCAAGGGTTACCGGTGATGGGCTGAGATCAGAGAAGCAGGCAGAAGGAAAGGACCCCTGGGGCACAGCAGGCACTCAGCCAACATCTGAAGAATACAAAACAATCACAACAGAATCAGATGTGCTCTGTAAAGAACCTAGTGCCATACAAATATTGGTTACCACTATCAGCATTAAGCTGAGTCTTAACAGATAAGTAACAATTGACAGAAGCTAACTGAAGCAGAGAAGAGGCATTTATTTCAAGGTTTCACGGCAGAACCTACCTGAAAGGTTCTGACAGGGTAGAACACCGCTTCTCAACCAGCGGCAGTTTTGCTCCCCAGGGAACATCTGGCACTATCTGGAGACATTTTTGGTTGTCACAAATTGCGGGAGGGTGCTACAGGCATTTAGTGGGCGGAGGCCAGGGATGCTGCTATACACTCTCCAATACACAGGACAGCCCCCTCACGACATTAGCAAGCTCAAAATGTCGACAAAGCCCTGGCTGAGAAACCCTGGGGTAGAGCCCAGTAGGCAGGTTCAAAATGGGTTTGGAGAAACACACGGTGACCAGATCTTAAAGGACATGCAATGCTCAGGAGACAAAATCATCTATGCCTGTATTCCTCGAAATGGGATCAATGAACCAGCGTTAAGACTCCTCCACTGTAGAGTTCACACATCCAGACTCTCTAGAGTGGAGCCCTATGATGTGCATGCTTTACAAGCTCCTAGGCAATCTAGGGCTCATCTGAATTCAGAAAGGCTTTCAGCAGTGTGAAGCCCGCTAAGGTTCAGGACCTGAGGGGATAGGAGAGATCTGGGCAGAGGCCTGTAAGGAAGGACCTGAACAGGCCCCTGATAGCCAAGGAGGGTCCGGGGCCAATGGCTAAAGGAACTTAAAGGAGAAATCTACTGAAGAGAAGCCCACCCCCTACCATTCTTCCACCAGATGGCTCCACTCCAATTGTGCCAGACATCTTGTTCCTAGAATACTCCTGCACACTTTCTTCCCAGAGCCTTTACACCAACTGCTCCCCCGCCTGCCATGATTTTCCTCCAAATGCACAAAGCCCCCACCCTTTTTTCCTTCAGATCTCTGCTCAAATACCTCTTTATCAACAATGCTTTCCTTAAATACCCATTATGAAATAGTGAATCACTGTCTCTTACCTAGCTTTATTTTTCTAGTAACACTTACCACCACCCAAATATGGTTTACTTGGCTTTGCTTGCTCTCCCTGAACCAAAACAGAAGAACCATGAGATCTTACCAGGGAATTTGTCTACTCTGTTCATTGCTGTATTCCAAGGGCCTAAAATGGTGCATCACACGATCCAATTGCCTAAAAAACATTTACTGACTGAATACATAAAACAATGAGTGGGCATTAGGGACAAGAACAGGATTTAGGTGAGAGGTAAGACAGAAACAAAGTGCAGTAACTAAGAAGCATGGACTCCTGGGGGTTCCTGAGTGGCTCAGTTGGGTAAGTGTCTGACTTTAGCTCAGGTCATGAGATCACTGTTCGTGGGTTCGGGCCCTGCATTGGGTTCTGTGCTGACAGCTTCAAGCCTGCTTCAGATTCTCTGTCTCCCTCTCTCTCTGCCCCTACCCCGCTTGCATGTGCATTTTCTCAAAAATAAACATATATATGGAAGAAGCATGGACTCCTCTATTACAGAAGTTCCAGTTTCAGCACTGTCTCTTGCTCGATGTATGATCTTGGACACAGCCTCTCTGTGGCTCAGTCTTTTCATTAGTAAAATGAGGTAAATGATAAAACCTATCTCCTAGCCATGGAGGGAAACACTTAGCATTGGCCCTGACATGCAGTCAGAGCTGAACGAACGCTAAACTCTTGGTGATGGCGGTTTGATGACCAGCTAAAGGAGGGAAAGGTAATTTTAGATGGCCCTAAGGTTTCTTTTGCAGAGACTGGAAGTTGGGGAAGAAGTCATTACTCAGGGAAGGTAAGGATAGGTGTGGAAGTGGAAAAGACAAAGGCAGGAGTGGTGATTCAGCCACACAGGTGGCCTAGAATAGGGGTATAGTGTGTGGACTCCAGAGCCAAACCCTGCAGGTAAACCCCCATTCCTTCACTCACAAGATATGTGGCCTTAGGCAAATTAGTTGCGCCCCTCTGTGCCTGGGTGTTCTCATCTTTAAAATGGGGTAACAATAGTAGCTACCTCCTAGGATAATTGTGGGACTCAAATGAATTAGTTTACATACACAAAACAATGTTTTGGCATGTAGCAAATACTATGTAAATGTAACGGGTGTGATAACGACAACGTGGTGGTTAAGCTCATGGTTTCTGGTTACAAGAAGGCCTGAACTGGATTCCTGGATGCTATTAGCTAATGACCTTGGGAAAGTTATTGCAAAATCTCCGTTCTTCCACTCTCTTCCAAAATTAAAATGACTTTCCCATCAGTGTGAAACCACAAAGGCTTGAGCGGAGTAATTTGCAAAGATTCTCTACGCTCCACCCTCCGCCTCCACCTCCCCTTCCAGGCCCCCAAACCCTGAGATCTGCTGAGAAACGGCCAAGCGAAAAGCGCCGGCATTAGTAATGCACCACCGACCCTACCATTCCTGGGAATTCCGCCCACCCCACCCCCACCATCCAAAGTCTACACTCCATTCAAGAGACGAGGGCTGCCATTCCCTCTCCCTTCATCCCCCAAGCCAGAAAACCCGCCAGTCGAGGCCCAGAGCCCCCGGGGAGGAGCCGGGAGGAGGCGGGGCCTGGCTGCGACGCCAAGACCCAGAGAGCCAGGGAGACGCCGGGGGCTGCACCCGCGCCCCCTCACCAGTAGCAGCTGTTGTAGACACAGGCGTCCCGCGGGGGGCTGGCCGGCTGGTAGCAAGCGGCTGCAGCGGCGGGGACATCCCCCTCCATGGCAGGCTGGCTTCGGCCAGGGGACAGGCCAGAGGCGGACCCACTGGACCAGCCCCGTGTGCAGGATTCGGGGGAGGAGCCGGCGCACGCCAGACCGCGAGGGTTTTCGGGGCGGAGCCCGGGGCAGCTGGTGCCGTTCCCGGGTGGTGGAGCCAAGGTTGGGTAGGCGGAGTCTGGGCGGAGCGAGCGACGCAGGTTCCGGGCGCGCAGTGCTGAGGAGGGAGGTGCAAGTTCCGGGTGGATGGAGCCCGCGGCTACGCGGGTTTTGCAGATACCGGTAGGCGGAGCCCGGGCGGGAAACGCCGAGCTCTTCCGGGGGGGTGGAGCTAGAGCGAAGTGGGAGGATCCCGGGGGCGGGGGACTGGTGAAAGGCGTGGATATCCAGTGGGCGGATCCCGGGACCCGGAGGATTGTGTAATTCCGGGTAGGCGGGGCCAGAGCAGGTGGGTGGAGCAAGGGCGAGCGGCCTTGGGGGAGCTCGGGTCCATAGGGGCGGAGCCGGGCGAGCTCTGGGGGCCGGTAACCCTGAGGATCCGGTCAGCTGGGGAGGACAGAGGTCGGCTGCGGGTGTCTTGCTGGAATCTGGGGAGGGCGTGGAGTTTGCAAATCGCCCTATCCTGAACTCGGCTTCAACAGTGCCCCGGAGGCGTGTGAAACTCTCTTCCAACCCAGGGTTGAGGTTGCCGGCTGTGGAGGAACCAGAGGAGATGCGGAAAAGCAAGTGAAATAAGAGAACCGTGTATGTGAAAAACGAACCTTTAGCAGTTTTATCCTAGAAGCCGCGAAAGCCCGGGGAAGGAGGGGGAGTTAATTCCAAATATGTCCGCATCGGGCGGTTTTAGAGAGGAATAGCACCCCCAAATCTCACCGTGTTGTAACATTTGATTATAATAGGAGAACTATGTGTATTGACTCAGAAGATATGTTGATCCCTTGATAGAGTTAAGTTTTAAAAAATTTAAAAAGAGTTCCTATGGCATTCATTTTGTGTTAATCATGTTTGCTGGCAATCTGGAAGGAAAGGCACCACATTATTAAAACAGTGTTTATGATGAATTTATCACTTTATACTTAATAGCCTTCTGCATGGTCTTATATTTGTAATGAATATATGTAACTGATCAGGGTACTTCCCATTATGAAAACTGAAATTCTTAGTTGGTTTATAGGCCATGTGCAGTCAGGTTTTTCCAGTCTCATGAGTTCAAAAGCCCATACATAAATCCTAAAGACTTTGAGCAAAAGTCCTTGGTAAGTCATCAATTTATTGCCTCTCTACTCTGAATACACCCTTCAATATAGGCTCTATGATAAATAACAGAATTCCTTTAAGCATTTCTCCTTTAGGGGCGCCTGGGTGGCGCAGTCGGTTAAGCGTCCGACTTCAGCCAGGTCACGATCTCGTGGTCCATGAGTTCGAGCCCCGCGTCGGGCTCTGGGCTGATGGCTCAGAGCCTGGAGCCTGTTTCCGAATCTGTGTCTCCCTCTCTCTCCGCCCCTCCCCCGTTCATGCTCTGTCTCTCTCTGTCCCAAAAATAAATAAACGTTCAAAAAATAAATAAATAAATAAAAAAAAAAGTGGGCACCAAGGTAAGCCTTCTCAGTAAAGTGTGCTGGAGGAAGAAGCTTTCTGCAGTTTCTGGGAGGGCAGAAGAGTTTGTGGAGTGTGGTCCTGAGAACATCCAGTGGAGTCTGCCCCAGCCTTGGGCTCAGGCCTCTGTGACCTTACAGCTTTAGTTTGGCAATAACCTTCCTGCAGCCCTCTTGACACAGAAACCAGACCCCTCCCCTGTGAGGCCTGCAGGCAGCCACTTGCCCATACTTCTTAGAGAAGCCCTGTCCTATGCACAGTTACCTGTGGCTGGTACGGTCGGTCACATGCTGAGCAATCAGTCCTTCACCAAGCCTCTCTTTTTATGAAACTCAAGACAACAACCCTTCCATTCCCCCTACGCACTCTGAGAGCCTTCTACCCCAGCTGGCTCCCAGAGTCCTAAGGTATCCCTACACCACTGGTTGGTGATTGCTCCCTCTACCCTCTTCTCTACTTAAGGGAAGTTGAATTTCGAGAATTAACTATGATAAAAGTGAAACCAAAAGACATAAGGAAACTATGGTACCTAGGGCTGAGGACAAGTACTCAAGAAAGATAAATTTGAAAGGGGTATGCACCCGGTTGGAGAAGGCTTGGGTTGCCTACCAGATAGCAGAGAAGTCTGAGTTGCTGGGCAAACAATAGAGAAGGGGGTAAAGAAGAGCCAGGAGTCTCTGCTACAATGTGCTTTCTTTATGCTTCTATATGCTTCAAACTTTCTCTTATAAGTAAGAACTTTTTGAATAAAAATATAGATCATTTTTAAAATTCATGTGATTTCATAGTAGAGACTATAAAAAAGCAATATGGTTTCAGAGGAATAAGGTTCTAATGCTTAGAACTCGATTCTGACCTGTAAACTCCAATGATCTAGATGAGGAAGAAATAAGAGTGCACTCAAAGAACCCAAAACCCAATGAAATAAGGATACCAAAGGGCTGCGTTTTACAGAAAAGGACACAGAACAAAGGAAAGTATAAGAGGGCCACAGATGTGAAAGGGGAGATCAAGAAGCAGGCAGCACATGATACATTGAGGTTTAACCACAAAAGGAGTTTTTTAAATTGGGGGAGGAGGTATTTTTAATCCTCAATATTAAGAGCTAGAAGGAAAGAAAAAGAAAGATAATACTATCACCTGGGACCTTGTGATAAGGGACCATGTAAGTGAAAGAAAACCAACAGTCTATTTTGATTGTGTTTTCTCTCTTCTTTATCAAAGAAAATGACCCTCAGGCTGTAAAGAATAAGGGAAACAGCGGTGAGAGGAAATTAAAGATAGGTGCAGTGGCAGAAAGCACCAATTTGCCTTGCAAGGGTTACAACTCTTCAGGGTTACAAATCTTTGGACCCAGATGAGAGACATCCCAGCGTACTGAAAGCACTCTAGATTATGACCCCAAAGCCTTTATTATGGATCTTGGAGAAAATATGTTGGAGGAGATGACATAAGACTAAATATGAATACTTGCTGTCTTGAGTTTCATAAAAAGGAAAAATATGTATTCCAGATGCTATACTCTGTGAACTTGATGCCTATTCCCAGGATGAATTGTGACCATGAAGAAGAGGTGATAATTTAGGGGCCTTTAGTGCTTTACCAAGCCCATTTCATGCCAAATGGACCTCATCTCATGCTGTTGAAAGAATTAATTGATCATTAGACTAGAATTATAGCATAAACCATATAATTTGATTCTAACAAAGCAGCTGGCCCAGTATCAGTCATGACTCATTCAGATAGGAGTCAAGGCAGAAAGGCTGTTTATTAGCTTGTTTAATGGGAAGGACACTGAAGTGGCTCTCAGAGTCAAAAGATGAGCTGCAGAAACCAGGGTCTCAAGGGACCGGAAGCAGAATCCACTTCCCCAGGTCTTCTTTCCTCAGTGTGCTTCTCAGTGCTCGGCTCCATCCTGAGGTGACTTCACTTCCTGCTGTGGGGAGGACGGCCACTGGCAGCCCCATATTCATATTTTCCAGGCTTGGCAACCCCAGTGGAAAGAGAAAACTCCCTTTTCCTCATAGCAATCACACAGAGCAACTTGTACCTTTATTTTTTACATTTCTGTGCTGCTTCGACGTTTTTACATGTGCAGTTGACCCTTGAACAACATAAGTTTGAACTGCGTGGGTCCACTTATACACAGTTTTCACAGTACCGCAAATGTATTTTCTCTTACGGTTTTCTTAATTAACATTTTCTTTTCTCTTACTTTATCATAAGAATGCAGTATATAGTACTATAATAAACAAAATAAGTGTTAACTGACTTTATATTATCAGTAAGTCTTCTGGTCAACAGAAGACAATTAGTAGTTATGTTTTGTAGGAGTCAAAAGTTATATGCAGATTTTTTACTGCACTGGGGTTGGTGCCCCTAAGCCCCATGTTGTCCAACTGTATTACTTTCTAATAACAATTTTTTTTTAAATAAAGTCTTGGGGTGCCTGGGTGGCTCAGTCAGTTGAGCAACCGACTCTTGATTTCAGCTCAGTTCATGATCCCAGCATCACAGGATCGAGGCCCATGTTGGGCTCCACACTTAGCATGGAGCCTGCTTTAGAGTCTCTTCCTCGCCCCCTTCCATTTTTTTCTCTCTAAAAAATTTAAGTCAATAAATAAAGTCTTAAAAGTCAAATTTTTCAACACAAAGAGCTGCATGGACAGACTATGGTTCATTTAACTTTTCCCCTACTTTTGTATATTTAGTTTTCAGATCCTATTGTAAATAAAGCTGCACTTATCATTTTTGTACATAAATCTTGGTATATGCCTCGGATAACATTAGGATGGAGTCTTAGAAGTGGTATTCCTGGGCCAATGGCTTTAAATATTTTCCAGGTCTCTTGATGCATGTCACTATATTGCTTTTATTTTTTTCAATGTTTGTTTATTTAGAGAGAGAGAGAAAGAATGCACACCCAACCCACAAAGTGGGGAGGGGCAGAATGAGAGGGAGAGAGAAAATCCTAAGAAGGCTCCCTGCTGTCAGCGCAGAGCCTGATGGAAGACTCAATCTCACAAACTGTAAGATCATCACCTGAGCCCAAATCAAGAGATGGAGCACCTGGGTGGCTCAGTTGGCTAAGCCAAGTCATGATCTCAGGGTTCATGGGTTCAAGCCCCATGTCAGGCTCTGTGCTGGCAGTCTGCTTGGGATTCTCTCCCTCTGCCCTTACCCCGCTTGTGCTCTCTCTCAAAATAAGTAAATAAACTTAAAAAAAAAAAA